GCTAAAAAATGTAACAAGTAAGATAAAAGGATTGTATATAAAAAAAGAAAGGTTGGACTTAAAAACAATGTTTAGAAAGCACAGTCAAAGGGAACTCTAAACAATGAAGTTTTTAATTAGGTTTCAAAGTTCCTTTAAAGCTTTCTGGGATGTTAATCTTTAAATGATGTATGTGTAACTTATAATTTCATCCTTTTTATAGCTTCATTTTTCATCAACAGATAAAAAGATGCTCTCATATGAGATGACATATTGAGAAACACCGCCTCCTAGTGGACAGTAATATTTCATATCTGTGTGATCAGTTCCTCTGCTGTGGTTCTCTTGAAGCTTATAAGATTATCAGGAGATAAATAATGGTTTCTTTTCTAACAGGGAAGTTTTTTCTAGCTGCAAAGAAATAGCCGGCATTGTCCTCAATGGATTCTCAACAACATTTTTTGAATGACAAGCAGAGCCCAATACAGTCATCTCAGTTTTCCCAGGAGGTTGTTCGTAAGACAAGATTATATAGAAGTAGGTGTTTGAATGTTTGCTGTTTAAAGGAAATCGCAGCAGCAGGAGCCTGATGAACATTTTTTGGCAGGCCAGAGCTCCATGGTAACTTTGGAGGAGCTGCAGAGATTACAAGATAACGATGGAGAACTGGTTAACTGTGACAGCCAAGGTATATTTAAGACTGACAAAGTCAATGTTGAGGGGTGAACCATAAGAGGTCGTATTTACAGTTTACCTAGAGCACTTAACAAATGCTTGGAGGAAGCTGCACTGATGAGAAAAGACCAAGAACAATATCTCTATTACACAGGTCTCTCTGTGGAATATAATGATACATAGAAGGATACTTAAGTGGAGAATATTTTCTAGCACAGAAAGGGAAACTGGTCAGAATTGGAAGAAAGATGGACCGGTTGAAAGATAGAGCTTCACCTTTTAACAGCACGACACCAATGATACAGCAGCCAGCTGTTCAAATCCAACATGTGTAAGAACGGCCTAGTCAAAGACCAGACTTTAGTCAAACTAGGAATCTGTAGTAAGTTTTGAAAAGGGATTGTAAGAAATGTTCTCACCTCATATAACTTAGACATAGATATTCTTACAAAAAGAATAGGAGCAAAAGCGTTTGAAGCATTCTGAGCATAAACGTGAATAAACAACCACCATGGCTTTTAAGAATTCTTTTTCTATACCTTATTTTAACATTTTTTTTCTTCCATTTCCTTGAGGTTTGCATCCTCTCCCTGTGCATAAATGGGCTATCTTAAGGAATGAAGAACTTTATGTGAAAATTTACCTCCACCTCATGAAAGGAAGCAACACAGCTGCAAAGAGCTGTGAGGTAAAAAACAAAGATCAACTAGAGGGTTTTTGTACCAAGGAGCTTTAATATGAAGCACTGTGGTCTAGCAGCGCAGAAATAAACTGCACTGCTGATCATATTCACATTCTCAACTGTTAGTGTGCAGTTCTGGTCTTTATTAGCTTTTCCAATAATTTTCACATTCAGTCCAGATTCGGGATATCCAGTAAGAGCATCATTATATCCCAGGAACTGCATGTTGTTGGTGGTTTGTTTGTACCAGAGGATCCGATCAAAGTTCTCATTACTGTGCCAACATTTTATGATGGCCTCTTTTCCAGGCTGGAGGAACAAGTCAGCTGGAGTTTGATGGACCTGATCACTGAGAGAAGAGCCTGTGGAAAAAAATGTGAAAGCATTGAGTCCTATAAAATTCCATGAGGGGAGATTCAACAAATATAATGGAACACAGAAAGAGAAATAGAATATATTACAACATAGCTATGGGGAAAAACCTTTTGAAAGAAGCTTAATTTAATTAGAATACACACTGACATTCAAAAAAAATAATGCATAGATATGAAACAAGATTTTAAAATAATAAACCAGTAATATTACCTAAAGCTGGAATTATGTTACACATTAAGCAGAAGATGATGATCATTGTGTTCAGTTTTCTGCAGAATGAGTCAGACTGATAATGTAGGTCTTTAACATACATGCTGCTGTGTTCCTCAGCCAATGATGAAACATTAACACGAGAAAAAAAAAAAATCCTTTTTATGATTGTGTGACATCATACTTCCTCTTCTTCTAATCTAACCCAATCAAATGTTGAGCAAGTATTCTTATTTGATTATAAATATTTATTAAAATAATAATAGGAAAATATAAATAACAATGCATCACTCAAATCCTAAATAAACCACAACAATTTTTTTTGTGGTTAAGAGGCTACCAGTCTTAAATGTATATATTTGTCAAGTTGGATTATTATATTGTTATCAATCAACAATTAACTCAATTTATCAGCAAATATGGCTGTGTTGTGGAACTGGGTTTTGTTTATCCCCAATTAAATATTAAGAATTGTATTCTAAATCTGAAAATGGTGTGAAGTAAAATGATCACTGAGAGTTGATATGCAAGGAAGAAAAAAAATTATTTTAACTTTTTCTATTATTCTATTCAATTATTTAACAAAAGGGGCCATGTATTAGAATGGCCTATTCAAAGCCCAGACCTCAATCAAAATGTGAATCCTAACCAAGAATTAATAAGACAGATTCAGAAACATTTCTGACTAAACTGAAGTTTCTTTCTTTTTTTTTTTTTTATAAAAATAGGCAAAAAATGATTGGACCCACCGGAACAGAAAAATCAATAGAAAAGACTTGTTTTTTTTATATATATATATATATATATATATATATATATATATATATATATATATATATATATATATATATATATATATATATATATATATATATAAATCTTAGTTTCATTTATTATCTTCCTTTTATTTTGCATGGAGTTTTGTTGCTGCCCCTATGCATGCACAGTGTGCTGTTGATTTGAAAGAAACAGCATTTTATCAAAGAGTTTGGGTTTACAAGGGTCTTCTAAAAGCAGGGACCAGTTCTGTAGGGTAAACAGGTGTTATATACAATAGATAACATATTATATTTCCAAGATTATCAGATATAAAGGAATTAGGTGTGATTCTGCACCTGAGACTAAAACATGACAGGTTTCTGACCCTCCCACTCTGTTCTTTACTTCAGATTAGTGTGTATGTCAACAACTTTATCATGTTGGGCTAAGAACCTGTGTCAAATGGAGCGGTTATTAATACAGGTCAGGTCAGCTCTCAACAGTCTCCACACTGTATGTACAAATAACATTTTAAAATTTATAGTTCTTAAACCAACCACAGCGAGAAAACATGACTGTTAGGCTAATTTTGACATTTTGAATTGAAAAAGCTTCCTGGATGGGAAGCGAAACATCTTCACACTTGGAAAACAAAGTCCAGTTGATGGGTGATTATTATACTTTTCCAGGTTGCAGGCCGGCTCCTGGAGAAAAACATTGGTCCCGCAGTGAACCAGCCAGAGTAGGAGAGAATAGACAGTTTTGGTCTTTGGAAAAGGCTGAACTATCCACAAAAAGAAAATGTCAAACTCCATAGAAAGTTTTTATGATTAAGGCTAGTGTAACATCTGCGTTTGATACGTAATCCTGCATACAATGAATGAATAAAAGTGTCTGTTCACACAGGTGCAGGAGGTTGAGAGCTCTTATACAGATTACAGAGGGTTTTTGTACTAAGGAGCAGTGATATGCCTCACTGTGGTAGCGAGCAGCACAGAAGTAAACTGCACTGCTGCTTATAGTGAGCTCTTTAATAGTCAGAGTGCAGTTCTGGTCTTTATCTGCATTCCCGTCCATCTCCACTTTCACTCCAGGTTCTGGATTTTTGTTTTCTTTATACATATAACCCAGGAGCTGAAGCTGTCCATCCTCTGATCTCTTGTACCAGAGGATAACATCATAGCTCTTGATGCTGTGAGAGCATCTGATGCTGGGTGAGTCTCCTGGTTTCGCGAGAATGTGATACGGAGTTTGGTGAACTTGATCACTGAGAGAAGATGCTGCAGAAAAAGAAAACAAACAAAAAAAGGAATGTATTGAATTATTTAATCATTTAATGTGGTGAGATGAAGCAAAAGGCCAAGTAGGTACAGTAATGGCACATGATATCCCATCAAACCTGAATATTACCTGAAACCAGCACAGCCTTGAGAGAGATGATCAAGAGCCCTGCAATCATGCTGCTGTTTTAAGGTTTGGAGCCTCCCATCTCAAATCAGCCTCAAATCTGCAATAGAAAAAGAAACTTCGAACGTGGGCGGAGTCACATCAGATCAAATATGGATATATTTTACATTGGAGCATAGGGCTGCTAGCTGAGAAATGATGAATGAAATTTTTGTACTGAGGAGCAGTTATCTGTTTTTGCTGCTCTCCCTTCTACTACAGCATTTTTGAGTGTTTTCACTGGAAAATTTCTTTCGAACATGAATCCCAGTGGTTGCATCTGATGTTCTGCCTGTACCTTTTTAGGATTAATATTAAAGTTTGTGTTTATTTTTTTATTTTTTTTTCTTCAAAGAGCTGTGCACCCCAGGACAATCAAAACCAATCAAAAACTTTACAGACTTCCAAGTGGTCTGATTAAGGGATCACAACAAAGCACCATATAATATTGTGAGGTAGAAGAAAGATAATCAATGCGTTTGAAAGATAATTGACCAAAGAAGTGTGACATAGCTTTAAAATTAGCTGTAAAATGTTCTCCAATAAAGCACTGAACCTTAAATAAATAAACTTAAGATAATTTGAATAAAACCAAAGTGCCCCCCCCCCCTTTTTTAACCAATTCAATCATATTAATAGCTTGATTTTTCGTCAACAGTTAAATATATTAATGCATGTTTTTTCACCATGGTTTTTCTCCCATGATGTATGCATTTGATCACTGTTGCACTTTAAGAAAATGGAAATGTCATGAGAGCTGTACAAAAGGAAATTTCCTTTTTTTATACACTCTGTGTGTACAAAATTACAGTAAATGTTTTCGTAGTCTAAAAAAGATGCTCTCATATGTGATGACATGTTGAGACACATCGCCTCCTAGTGGACAATAGTATTCTACAGCTGTGTGATCAGTCCCTCTGCTGTGGTTCTCTTGAAGCTCATGAGGTTATCAGCAGCTAAATGGTGGTTTATTTTCTAACAGAGAAGGTTTTTGTTGGAGCTGGAGGCTTCAAGCAGCACTGTGCTTCACTGGCAGCACAGAAATAGACTGCGCTGTCCTCAGGCTGCCTCAGCTTCAGAATAACAAAAGAAGAATGACTCTGGCCACTACCAGTCACATTATACAAGCTTTGAAATTGATCCTCAACAACATTAGAAGTATATTGTGTGTATCCCAGTAGAGTCATATCAGTTTTCCCAGGAGGTTGTTTGTACCACTGGATCATATCGAAGTTGGTGTTTGAATGTTTGCAGTTTAAATCAACAGATTCTCCTGGTCCTTTAATCACATTTGCAAGATTCTGATGAACGCTGTTTATTGATGGCTCTTCTGAAAGGAAATAATAAACCAACAGATTAAAAGTAGATGATCTTTGAAAGGAGAGTTTAGTAATGAACAGACTTAAATGTACCTGAAGAACCGAAGTGCAGGACCAAAAAAGGAATTAAGAGTTTGAACATGATCCAAGTCCACATCGCTACCAAGCTGCAAAAATAATGTCAGACTGCATAAAGATGTTCACATGCAAAAGGGGAGGAGGGGATGCCATTCTATGTTGTCATAGTCATCACTCAGCCTTCTTCAGGTTAAGTAACAGAGGAAGAGGAGGTTTCTTTTCTAATGTCTGATGATTTGCTGATGTAGTTTAATGTCCTTTGATGCAGCTGTGCTCCTCCTCAGTCTGTGTTCATGTTCAGGATCATCAGAGAGGGTTTTTGTAGAGGTTAAACACCAACTGTGTCACTGTGTACTAGCTGCACAGTAATACATGCTGCTGTCTTCTGGTTGGAGTTTTTCTATATGAAGGCCAGATTCCTTTGAGCCGTCTCCTCTCAAAATGAAATGATCTTTGAATTCATCCTCCAGCTTTGGGCTTTGGTTGGAGATATAACCAATTAATTTCAAAATGGAGTCACCAATCAGCTTTTGGTACCACAAAATCACATAGTAGCCACTGATTGAATGGCTGCAGTTAATAGTAGCAGGATTGCCGGAAACTTCTAATATTGATGGTGGCTCCTGGTGCACATTCTTGCTCAGTAAAAAATCTGTACAAATAACAAATAACCATATTAATTCACATGAACAAAGTTTTGTAAAGAATGAGAATGATGTCCAACTTACAGCAGAAGCAGAGCAACAGCAGACATATCCTGCTGAGGTTTCTGGTCATTATGTCTGTATCTTCCTCTTCGTCTCTGCAGGGACTGACATAGTGAACATGTGTTTGAGGATCAACTGAGAGGGGAGGAGACATATTCCAAGATCTTGTCAAAAGCACATGCATCAATTAGTTCTCTGATTTGCCCTTTTGTTTGAGTTACAGCTGTATGCGTTGAACTTGAACGTTGATAATTGCTTGTCAAATAAAATACTTATTTACTTTACAACCAGATTGTTTTCTTTACACGCCTAAATGGTAAAAGAAATACTTGTAGAAGACACATTTGTATTATATAGTAGTGTTCTCACAGAGGTTTACAAATTAATATTAACCTTGGTAGGAACATCATGATGTGGCAGAAGGAAACTTAACTCGATCTCTAGGGCTGTGCACATCTGGACAGACATTTCTGATGTTTTTTCAGGTATCTGTTGCTCCAATAACCATGAGGTTATAACTACATATATACAGTCAGTAGAGCCAGTAGAGTGACATGTACCAACATCATATTGAAGTTGGAGTTTGAATGTTTGCAGTTTAAATTCACAGATTCTCCTGGTCGTTTAATCACAGCAGCTCGAGTCTGAAATACGCTGTTTTCTGAAGGTTCTGCAGTACCTTCAAAGTAAGGGGAAATTTTTTTCAAAAAATCGTACCTTTTTTTTTTGGATATAAATTTATTTCTGGTTTATATTTTAAATAGAGGTGCAGAGCCTCTGGGTGTAAACAGAGTTGAATATGATCTAAGTAGAGATACAAACAAAACTAATGATTGATTTCTGATGTCTGATGATTCGCTGCTGTAGTTTAATGTCCTTTGATGCAGCTGTGCTCCTCCTCAGTCTGTGTTCACGTTCAGGATGATTAGAGAGGGTTTTTGTAGAGGTTAAACACCAACTGTGTCACTGTGCACTAGCTGCGCAGTAATAAGTGCTGCTGTCGTCTGGTTGGAGTTCCTCTATTACAAGATTAGAGTACTTTGATCCATCTCCACTCACATTGAACCGATTTTTTATTTCCTTTTCAAGGACTACATCAGTATAAAAAACATATCCAATCAGTTTAAGAGCAGAATCACTAATTGGCTTCTGGTACCACAGTATCGTGTTGTAAATACTGATTGAATGATTGCATTTAATAGTTGCAGGACTCTGAAGACTTCCAAATATGGATGGTGGATCCTGATGCACATCTTTGCTTAGTGAAAAATCTGTTGTGGGAAAAAAAAAAACATAATAAATAAACATGAGTATCAATTTGATCTATTTATATCCAGAATAATGCTACGTACAGCAGAAGCAGAGCAGCAGCAGGGTGATCCTGCTTAGGGTTCTGATCATGATGTGTTTATCTTCCTCTTTGTCTCTGCAGGGACTGACAAGTTCAACACATGTTAGAGGATCAACTGAGAGGGGAGGAGACGTAAACTGGGTGGATGTTGATGGAACATTTTTGAAGTTGCACCCTAATTTAGACTTTTACTCCCAGTAAAAATGTTAAGTTTATAAATGTTCTAATCATTTAGATTTTTTTCTGAAAGACAAGTCTTTGACAAGTTTTTGCTCCTAAGTAACAGCAACATAATAAAAATACATTTGTTTGTAAGAACTGACTAAATAATAAACAATTTAACAGGTATTCAGCTAACAGACTGTTAGAATTTTTCGCAGGACTCCAATAAAAATCACTCAGGAAATCTGAGGGGATGGGGGACTTGAATTATGAACAGAAAATCTGTTGCATATGATGCTAACAAAATCACTCCAACTGAAACTCATAAAGGTGATGCAGACCCTTTATAGAAAGGCTTTCTGTTGGTCTAGTTCTTCAACCTTCCTGAATCTTATGTTCTGCCACAAATAGAAGCCATTCTATCCTACAGCTTGAGGTAATTTCCACGGACTCTACTGAGTTACGGTCCTCGTCTGCAAAAACATGCATAACATGCAAAAAAGAGAGCACAGCTATCATACTAAAAGGTGGTGTTAGCAAGACATTTCTAAACTTGTAGGATTGAGAAATGACGTCTAAAACAATGTGCAAACATTTTACTGCACACTTTTTCTTTATGATTCCCAGTGTGTTTGGAACTGACTCCTGCCTCATGTGCTTTGCTTCCCATCCAGGAAACTTTTCCAAACTTCGAAAACAAAGTTCAGTGGTTTGTTTTTTTAACTCTTTTAACTTTTTTGGAATTACCTAGATGATTGAGAATCTTTATCAGCATATTTCCCCAGATGTTTGCACTGCTGCCCTGTGTCCGTAGCGCTGACACCTGTAGCACCTGAGGTGAGGCTGAATGAATGGGCCTTACTGGGAAACCTCTTCTAACTCTTTCTGGTTACACTGACTGAAAACTCTGAGCAGTGATGCACTTGCCAACCTTTCCTCTTGTAAATTTTTTATAAAGTCCCTGTATTGTTAGTCTTGCTTCCAAAAAAGTTAATCTTTAATCAATCTAAATCCTCTTTACCTGGTATTCCTGTTATTACGCCTTTCAGTGTGTTATTCTCTCCTGTGACTTTTATTTCTATGACATCTCTTTTCCCTATAGGTGTTTAACATCCAATGGGTTGTTTTTGTTTTTCTCCTCATTTTTGCAAATTACCAGCAAGTTTCCATCTCTCAACTCCTTCACCCTTTCAACATTCCCAATTCTCTTTTTCATTTCTCTGGAAATCATCATAGGGCTCAAATTATTTTGTTTTTCTCACCACTGGGTCTAAATATTATTTTCGTCACTTCTCTAATTACCTTCCTTTGCACAACTCTTTTTTTTTATCTAAACAGCTTTCTTCTAATTCCCGTTTATTTCCTCCATTCTCAAACCACCTTTCCTCCCTTTTACCCCTTTCTCTATCTCTCCCTTTCCAGTCTTCCTCACCTACTTCTGACCTGCCATTTTGTTACATACAGCAAAACGTCACCCAAAAAAAACCTGATTGTCAGCCAAGTCCCAAAAAACATTTTTTTTTTTTTTTGTTTTGCTTTAAAGTATTTAAATTTGGAGGTGTCATAATTGTTGGCACAAGTGCTGGTCCAGTTCATCCTTCAACACACCTGTCAGCTCCACCCTGTTCTGGATCAGCCGTCATCAGATCGACTCGCTCACGTGGCAATATAACCAGCTCTAAGGCCAGTCACTGGAGCCAGATTATAAAAAGCTGTTACTGAGTTTAGTCCAGCATTCCTGTAAACCTTTCTGTTTGCCTGATTCTGACCTAAATAATTCTCCTGATTCTCTTCGCCTGCCTGAGTCCTATCGGACCTGTTACATTGTGTTTTTCTGATTAGACAAATACTTCTCTCACTGACTAACAATAAACCCTGCAGAAAGTCTGTCAAAGGTTTCAATACAGAGTTAATCAAAACAGTTGAGGAAGATAACATGTTATGAATAATTCCTGAGAAGCATAGCTTGTTATAAGAATGATTATTTTCCATTCCAAACAATCCCTAATAGGATAAACGACTCCTCTCCTTCAGACACCGCCTTGCAACTTTGAAGCCTGAGTAAATACTTTTATAAAATAAGTAAATGCAGAATCAGCTCTCATAAATCAATATATGTAAGGGGAGAGCACAGGAAATTGAATTTCAGTTCACTTCACATCGACAACTTCAATTGTCGATGTTTTTCTTAAAGGCGATTTCTACCAATTTTTACTGATAATTTATTTCAGTGTTAGTGCATTATGCTGTTATGGACAAACAAAAGACTGAAGACTAACTTTCTAAGAATTTTAAGGATGTGTCCAAATTGGCTCCCTAACCACTCAATCTCTATATTGAGCGAGGACTATATACTGGACTCAGTCAACTGATTTTAGATGGATGATCACTACTTTTCACTCCCCGATGGTCTTGTCACTCTGGCTCCTTGCAATATAATACGTAAATCTATCTATATAAATATTTGAAATTGTAAATAATGTTTACTGTCATCTATTTTGTTGTTTCATCCTTTATGTAAGCTCTTGTAAACAGCAAATACCTCTGTAGGAAAGCATCTTTTGATAAACACCGCCTTCTAGTGGACAGTAATATTCCATTGCTGCGTAATTACTTCTTCTGTGGTTCATTTGAAGCTAATGATGTTATCAGCAGCTAAATTATGGTTTATTTTCTAACAGAGAAGGTTTTTGTTTGAGCTGAAGGCTTCATGCAGCACTGTGCATCACTGGCAGCACAGAAATAGACTGCGCTGTCCTCAGGCTGCCTCAGCTTCAGAATAACAAAAGAAGAATGACTCTGGCCATTACCAGTCACATTATACAAGCTTTTAAATTGATCCTCGACAACATTAGAAGTCAAACGTGTATATCCCAGTAGAGTCATATCAGTTTTCCCAGGAGGTTGTTTGTACCACTGGATCATATTAAAGTTGGTGTTTGAGTGGTTGCAGTTTAAATTGACAGATTCTCCTTGTCCTTTCATCACATCAGCTGGATTCTGAAGAACGCTGCTCATTGATGGCTTTGCTAAAGTAAATAATAAAGATAAACAGGTTTAAAACCACCGATCTTCTTTGAACAAAACAGTTATTAAAAATCTGTTTTAAATGTACCTGGAGAACAGAAGAGTAGAGCAAAAAACGTAATGAAGAGTTTGAACATGATTCCAGTCCAGTTGAATACAAAGCTGCATTGATACTGTAAGACTGCATAAGGTTGTTTGCATATAAAGAGGAAGGAGGGGGGGACGTTCTATGCTGTCATATTCATTAATCATTCTCTTCAGAAGGAGTAACAGATGAAGTGGAGATTTCTATTCCATTAAGAAAGAAAGAAGTTTATTTAACATAAGATCTCCATCTTCAAAAGGTTTATTAGTTAATTAGTTGTTGTCTTACAGAAACCTGGCTTCAACAAGAGGATGATGTTAAAATAAATGAAGCAACTCTCTCATGCTATCTCACTCAACCTATTTAAATGTACATGTGCCCAGAAATTCTGGGCAAAAGGGAGTAGAAACAATCTTTCAGCTTGATTACTGATTAGCCCAAAGCCAGTTCAGTTAATAGTTACAATTATTTTGAAAGTTTAACCCTTAGTTCCCCTCATCCAAATTGTCAAACAACAAAACCTCTTATGTCTCTTTGCATAGTCGACCAGGTGCTGTGCTGTAATATTGCAGGGGGCAACTATTTAATTTATTCCCCATCACAAATTGTTGATTCTATTTATGGGGTCACTAGCTATCTGCGTACAGCTCTAGGCAATGCAGTCCCTTTAAAAAAGAAGAAATCTAATAATAGGAAGCTAGCTCCTGGGTTTAATACAGAACTGTGCGCTTTGAAGCAAAATGTTGGGAAATATGAAAAAAAAAAAGCTGGTGCTCTACTGTAGGCACTGATTTCCTCTGTGCTCATGGACTGCTTGTGGATGTTGCTAACAGACATTTGGGCTGTTAGTACATGCAAATTTTTTTTGACTTCTTGGGATGCTTTCCAGGGTTTATTTGGCCGGTTTCCTTCATTAACTGTTCCCAACTTTCCAAACACTGACACAAAAGATGGAATACAGCACTGTATTGCGACGAATGGTGCTCTGGTGTTGATGCGTGCTTGCCAACTTGTCACGACAAACCTGGGTATTTTGCAGGAGGAGTTTGCCAACATGGAACGTTTAGACATTGTCAGATTGTGTTGACCTAAAAAAGCAAATGTTAAATGTCTTTTATATTGTGAGTTTAAAGCTAAATAACTTGTTTGCTTCTGGATTTACACCCAGTAAAATGCTCTTCTAGTTTTGGTAATAATATTCTTATCCAACAATAAACTATGTTTTCATGTTTAGCAGAAATCCACTGAATAAAAACACTTTACACTTTTGTGGAAAGCACTGTTTAATACTCATTCAGCTAACATGTTTAGCTATAACAAAATATGAATAGACAACTCCCCCTACTGATGATTAAGAGTAATGTTGTCTCCAGCAGTTGGGTTTTTGTGCAGGTCTATCAATCAGCTGCATCACTGTGTTGACTTACAGCACAGAAATACAATCCACTGTCTTCAGGCTTCGAGTTGTTCACTGTCAGAGATCCAGTCTGAGCATCCTTCTTCTCTGCGGGAAATTTCTCCTCACTGAAGCCTTGTTCATACTTATGTGGAGGAGTTGTTGTTGTAAATACTATTAGTTTCATGTTCTGTCCAGACAGCTGTTGGTACCAGTACATCTGGAAGTAAGAAGCATCTTTAGTGTGATTGCAGCTCATGGTGGTAGACTGACCCTCCTTCGTCCACAGCAGAGGAGTCTGATTGACATCACTTCCATCAGTTAGACCTGCACATGTTTAAACGATCATTAATAGACGTGTAAGCAGCTGATGATCAAGCAACTGATCAAACCTCCTGCTTAGCAAAAGAAAAACTTATCTTACCTGTTATCCAGAGAACAAAAGGAAACACACTGAAGAATCTGGGTCTAAAGGGAATCATATTTTACAACTAACATCAAACGAAAACTTAGTAATCTGTCAGTTTTAGAAAGCACACATAAAATGATGCAGAAAGTCACTTCCTTCTGCTGTTATCCCACTGAGAAGTAATATTTGTTAAACGAAAGGAGATCAAATGAAATGAACCAAACTAGAAACCAAAGAAGGTCTGTGTTAGACAAAGTGCAGCTTTTAAGCAGAAGGAGGAGTGTGCATCAGGTGGGATCGAGATGGTATTACTGTCCTCTTTGTGTCTAGACAAACTGATTGACTGAACATGTTAGAAGATCAACTGATTAAGGAGGAGCCAATTATACACTTTCTCTCTAACGTATACAAGGTGAACTAAGTTATGTCCTTTTGTTCTGGGAATTATTATGTTTTTATCTTTACCTGCTTTTTTCTGCTCTTACATTCCTTGTATTTTTGCTGGGAAATAATCTCCTAGTAATTCCCTTTTACATATATTGATTTATGAGTGCTGTGTTAAATTCATTCAGGCCACAGAGCTGCAAAGCTACAAGATATCTAAGTGAAAGGGATTGTTTATCATATTAGGGAGTGTTTGGGATAAAAACAATGGTTTTTGTAACAAACTAGGCTGTTTCTCAGGGATTATTTCATTATATTGTGTGTTATTTTCAATTTTCTGTCTTTGTGTGGGTCACAATATGTAGAGACCCTGGAGCTCTTTCTGCAGGGTTTTTAATTAGAAAGGTACAAAACGCTGTCTAGATCAGAGGAGGGCAGAACTTCATGCTGTTAGGGCTGTTATGATCATCTTGTTGTCTTTTTGCTTTGCAAAGTATAATTAAGTGCTGACTGAGTGCAATCCACCTATCTCAGTTTATAGTTGAATACCTATTTCCCATAACATATTTCATTGTAAAATCAATATTAAGCACATTGAATTGTCTTTGCACTGAATTGTGCTATATAAATAATCTTTCCTTGCCTTGCCTAGACATTTATGAGGTGTTTAGATGCTTTGACATATTTTTTTCCTTTAAAAACAATTGAAAAGCTTTTGTTGTAAAAAATTAGTGAACTCAACCTCTTGAGTTACTGCTTGTGGTCCTAAGTACTACACAATATCTTCCTGAACAGAACATGGCACCACTAGCACTCTCAGGGAATGTTTGATTTTTCGCCCTACCATACATGGGACAAAAGCCCACAAAAAGTAAAACCCTGGAAAGGTTAAATTAACTGGGTAAATGTTATTGAAACGCTACCCTGGCCTTGAAAACAGTCCCTAAACTGCAACACACACCCACCCACGAACACACAAGTTGGAATACACTTCATCACTTGTAAATGACAAATTTACCTTTTGACAGTGTGGGATTTATGTGTCTTTTCTTTATAAACTGTTTTTTATTCATTAAAACAAGCTGATGTTGAATATAAACATATGAAAAAATATCTGAAGTTTTAACAAAATCTAGTCATTAGCTCCACCTACAGTTTATTTAAATCCAAAATGTCTTCAGTTCAGTGGTTCTCCAGCAGTTGGGTTTTTGTGCAGGTCTATCAATCAGCTGCATCACTGTGTTCACTCACAGCACAGAAATACAATCCACTGTCTTCAGGCTTCGAGTTGTTCACTGTCAGAGATCCGTTATGAGCTTCCTCCTTCTCTGCGGGAAATTTCTCTTTGTTGAAGCTTTGTTCATACTTATGTGGAGGAGTTGTTGTTGTAAATACTATTAGTTTCATGTTCTGTCCAGGCAGCTGTTGGTACCAGTACATCTGGTAGTAAGTAGCACCTTTAGTGTGATTGCAGCTCATGGTGGCAGACTGACCCTCGAGCGTCCACAGCAAAGGAGTCTGATTGACATCACTTCCATCAGTTAGACCTGCACATGTTTAAACAATCATTAATAGATGTGTAAGCAGCTGATGATTAAGCAAATGATCTAACCTCCTGCTTAGCAAAAGAAAAACTTATCTTACTTGTTATCCAGAGGACAAAAGGAAACACACTGAAGAATCTGGGTCTAAAGGGAATCATATTTTACAACTAACATCAAACGAAAACTTGGTAATCCGTCAGTTTTATATAGCACACATAAAATGATGCAGAATATCACTTCCTTCTGCTATCCCACTGAGAAGTAATGTTTGTTAAATGTAAGGAGATCAAATGAAATGAAATGAACCAACCAGAAACCAGAGCTGGTGTGGGTTGGATGTGCAGCTTTTAAGTAGAAGGAGGAGTCTGCGTCAGGTGTGATCAAATGGTTTTACTGTCCTCTTCGCCTCTAGACAAACTGGTTGACTGAACATGTTAGAAGATCGACTGAGAAAAGAGAAGCCAAAAACTGGGATCATTTCCACTGAATATGCTTCAACTGAAATCCTGATTAAGATTTAAAATCAAACAAACAGTGTGCATTATGAACCTGATCTCATATAACTGTAGCACTTTAAATATTTATCCTAAATTTACCCTGAAAATATGATCAAACACAAAGTGGCTGTAGCCTAACGGAGCACAGAAATGTTCCAAACCCATAGAAAAAGACCAAAAACATGTTTTTGTCACCTTCTCATCAACAACACAGGGTCTCTAGGCCTACAGTACAGCTCTATTTCTGTGCCCTAGCTTGGGTGGTGATATAATATCACAGTACAACCTCTTATAGAGCCAGTCTAAAAGTCTGTCCCTGATGGGAAGTTAGCAGCTGCTTTATTTGAACTGCTTGTGGGATGTTTCAGTGAATTAAACCACTTATTAAACCGTTTGCAGTGTTACCTTACACTTTATATAAGCTTGTCTCAATTTGAGTAGAACTGACTGCAGCCTTCTCTCCCATCCTGTGATTATGATTTCTTAATTGTCCCTATGTTTTTGCACAAACTGATTCACTGAACACATTAGAAGATCAACTGAGAAATAGGAACCATGATCATTTCCACTGGATTTTTTCAAGAAAAATTCTTTAACAGGTTCATCCACATAACCACTACAAATGACTTTAAAGATTTAGATATTTATTTCTTATGAAAACATTTTTAAACATCATATATTATTAAAAAATATATGCCGGTTAACTTGAAGTGTTACAGTTTTTTAAGTGCAGGCTTTGTTGTTAAATCCTAAAGGTATTGAAAACTTTAACAATGGTTTACCTGTTAGAGCCAATAGGTGTAAACAGAATTTAAAAATCATTTTATTAAAGAAGCAGATAATATTAATAATACTATCAGGATGAGGGAAGGTCTGAATGCAAAAAAAGAGGAGGGATAACACAATTGTCACATTTCCTCAGACCAGCATCTGACAGTTAAAAGAGGAAGGGGAGGTTTCTATTCTGATGTCTGATGATTCGCTGCTATAATTTAATATCCTTTGATGCAGCTGCTTAGTCTGTGTTCATGTTCTGGATGATCAGAGAGGGTTTTTGTAGAGGTTAAACACCAAATGTTTCACTGTGTACTAGCTGCACAGTAATACATGCTGCTGTCGTCTGGTTGGAGTTCGTTTATTTCAAGATAAGAGTACTCTGATCCTTGTCCAGTCACTCTGAATCTATTTCCAAATTCCTCTTCAACCTGTACAGTGGCATAATAAACGTATCCAATTAATTTAAGAGCTGAATCAGCGATCTGCCTCTGGTACCACAATATCATATAGTATCCACTGATTGAATGGTTGCAGCTCATATTTGCAGAACTCGGAGGACTTCTAAATATGGCAGGTGGACCCTGATGGACATCTTTGCTTAATGAAAGATCTGTGTTTGAAAAAAAAAAAAACATAATAAATACACATGAGCATCAAATCAATCTATTCTTCTCCACAATAATATTCGACTTACGGCTGAAGCCGAGCAGCAGCAGGGCGATCCTGCTGAGGCTTTGAATCATGATGTGTTTATTTTCCTCTTTGTTTCTGCAGAGACTGAAAGGTCCAACTTATGTTAGGGATTTGCTGAGAGGGGTGGAGACTTAAACTGGGTGGATTTTAGTGGACCTGGTTGAATTTGCAACCAAACATACAGTAGATTTTAACTGCAGTAAAACAATACTCACTCCAGTTGCAAACACATGCATTGTTTTAATGTAATTTTTTTTTTAAGTATGGAGAAATTATGATATTACCAAATAACTACCTGTGGATAAGAGACTTCTTATTTTCCTTAGGATGCCAATAAAAAAAACATCAGGAACTCTGAGTGTATTCATTAACCTCAGAATCAAACATATGGTAAGGATATCAGGGTTTTTTTAAACTACCCATGCATGTGGATTTTTCAATTACATAAAAAACATCCTAAGCGGAATAAGTGGCACTCCTTTCTGTGTTTCTATGTTTTTGTGTAACCTCTCCATAAAACAGACAGAGTATCTATGGTTTATACAGATAATTTCTTGTAAGGCTTGATCAGTCTACACCTATAGTTACCAACAAAAGCTTCAGCTTCTTACTTTTTCTCCTTGTGTGAAAATACTTATATAAAATAGTGTGGGAATATATTATTGTTTATATGACCTCCTAAAGCAGTATTTTTAGTAAAAACAACTATTTTTTTAAGGAGAAAAACAACTTTAATACAGACTTATGGTGTCTAAGTGGTGACTTAAACCTCAACTTTACTTTTACTGTCCCCTGAGGGAAGTTCTGTTTGTAGGAGGGTAGAAACATAAGAAAAACATGAGAATATAATCAAATAATTTCATGGACATCACAGAAACAAAGACAATTGAGGGCAGAAATGTTAGGACAAATCACAGCTGTTCCCTTTTTAACTTTGAATGTTGGCGGTCTTATGGCTTTGGTTAAAAATTAGTTCTGCTTCCTGCTGGATTTAGCCTTTAGCTATATGAATCTCCTTGCTAGAGCTAAGAGCTCAACGTAAGGGTACGCTATATTGTCCTGAGACTTGGAATTTCCCCTCCAATAAAAAGTTAACAAGTCATTGATGATAATACTTCCAACTTTTGTAATATGGTGTAATCCTTTTTTATCCGCCAATAAGAGGTTGCCAAACCAGTTGAGGATGGAAAAGCTCAGGACAGATTCAATGGAGTGGTAAAAAATGTCCATTTGTTTGCTGCAACCCCAAATTGGTTTAGCACCTAGAGAGAGTGCAGTAACTGCCTTGATTTTTTGAAAACAGCATTTCTACTTTCATTAAAACACAGCTTACTATCTAGGACAACACCAAATATTTAAAACTGCTGACCTACTTCACTGCCTCTCCGCTGATCACAGTTAAAGATGGTGGGTTTGGTTTCTTTCTAAAATCAATAAACATATCCTTGGATTTTGTTCCATTTAAGTCTAAGAGATAATTGTTACACCAATAAATATAATCATCCACCAGTGACTCCAGGTCCACTCCCTGTAGAAAGCTAACTCTCACTGCATTATAAGCAAACTTCAAAATATCTCATTCAGGATGTAAGCTTCTCCTGGCATCGGTGTACAGTTTATATAAAATGGGCGAGACGACACAGCCCTGTGGGGAACAGGTGGAGGAAAGAAGGATGTCTGACAGGGAACCACAGACTCTTACACGTTGTGAACTGGTTGTTAAAAAATAAATAAGATCCAGCCAACAATGTTAGGAGATAACACAACATTTACTAATAGTTTCAAAGCTAAAATATGTATCTGGATTATATTAAAGGCCAAAGTGAAATCTAAAAACACTGGGTGGCCAGGTCTTCAAAGAGTTTAAAATTAAAGTTCAGGTGTTAAGACTGGTTCATCTAGGCCTCTTTTACTCTTGTATGCAAATTGTAGGAACATCAACTCTCTTTTGATTAATTTTTGAAACACAATCATAACTATAGTCTATAGGTCTGTAGTCATTAACAGCCTTTGGGGATTTTACTTTAGCCACAGGCACAACGGTTGACTTTTTCCACAAGTTTGATGACTGTCTGCTGCTCCAAGGAGCACTTAGACATATGATGGAACAAGTTGATCTGAACAGCGACTGGAAATATTATCAAGGCTTCGACTTTATATTGTTTTGCTTTTTCCCATTACAGCTTTTACATCTTAAACATTAAAGCCAAGATTAAAGTGAAAATTGTGCTCTGTGGTAGAGGCAGTTTCAAACCTTATCGAATCTACCTCTTTTCTAAAAGTAAATGAGTCAAAGCTTGGATCAAAACTATTAAAAATAATCAGCTAGTCCTTAGACAGACGGTGACCTTACGGAAAAAAATTCACAACCAATAAACAGAGAGTATAACTATAGTGAAACTTTCTCAACAAATATTAAATACTCTCCAATAAATAATGTTCTTCTGACACATTGCATTAGTGGAGGTTGGTTGAGGAACAAAATGCAGAGATGAAGGAGGCAGAGATGAGATATTGCACGTATAATGAAATCAAAAGGCAGCATAAACAAATCCAAGAACTAAAAATACAGGAAACCAAAAAAAAAGGAGACATCAGGGGAAATACACATGGTTAGGCAAGTATGAAACAAGAAACCAGCCACAAGGAACTGCAGAGGTGGTGTATATAAGGGAGAGAGAAACAATTGGACTAATGAACCGATAGGGAGTAGGCGTAGACAGAAGTAACCAGAAGGACATAAGGGAAAGGAGACCGGCACAAGGGGACAACAGAGAGAAACTCAAGAAAATACAAGACTGATTAAATATAACACTAAATGGAAAAGAAACAATGAACAAGAAAACACAGAATAGCATAAATCAAAGTGGAACTGAAAACAAACTCAAACAGAAGTCCACAAGGGGAGAACCATTGAAGGTTTGTTATGATTCATGTCTTCCATAGATAATTTAAAGAAACTATGACTATAGTTTAGAAATTCATTTTCAAATTTCTTTGAAACAGTAAAGAAATCTCTAGTGTTGCTTATGATGTAATTGTTTGAGCCTTTGTGTTAGCTGTTGTAAACTGAAAATGCTTCTGTTGAAAAGTATCTTTTGAGAAGCATCGCCCCCTAGTGGACAGTGATGTTCCTCTGCTGTGGTTCTCATAAAGATCATAATCAGCAGGTGAATAATGGTTCCTCTTCTAACAGGAAACCTTTTCCTAGAACTGCACTCTTTAAGTGGCACTGTGCATCACTGG